TCTTTGGAACCCCCCTTCAGGTAGTTGAAAGCAGCTATCAAATCCCCCCTTATTCTTCTCTTCTGCAGACTAAATAATCCCATTAGCTTCCATTACTAGTATGGCAATTCTAAGGTGCCTGCTGCCACGGTAAGTGACAGAGTTTAGCATGAATACTAGACGTGCAATAGCATGAGTATAGGGAGCCTCGTTTTCAGATCTTAAGAAGTACAATTAAAGATTGTGGTAAACTCTCTTTACTCATTCCAGGATAAGACAGAACCTACTGCCAGCAGGGACCTCCGTTACCATCTCTGCCTAGGCCAGTTCCAAAGTTGCAGAACTGGGGCAGTAGCCTCCTTCAATGCAATGAAGCACAAGTGGCCTGAGGCCTGCAAATCTCAGTCCAATATTTAGGACTTAGGGGGCACATTCAAATACCTTCATGGGATTGTTCAGCTCTTCCTCCTCTCGTTCCTTCTGCACCCTCTTCTCCTCTTCCTCCAACAGCTTCTCAGCTTGGAAGTTCCGAGTGGCGCCATGTTCCATGGTGTAGTCTGTGTTCTCAGGATCCGTCTGAGGAAGACAGGGGCAATGCAAGGGAATTCATTGCCAATCTATTCAGTGCTGGTAATGAACAGCCAGTATGATTTTCAAAGCAACACATAAAACGACACAAAGCACTTCAACCTTGTTTTATTCACATCACCTGCCAAAAGAATGATTATTTATGCCCTAGAAACACCCATGGTACTCAGACATTTGAGCCGCAATAGTGCCCTACTCAGACTGTAGATGAGACACTTTACTGTTTGTTGAAAAGGGAATACAGATGAAGTAGTTAGGATGCAAAATTTGACCTCTGGTTATCTTAAAATAGTAGCATTTGTTGGGAACCGTCTAGGACTGGAATGGAGATCTCCTGACACTCACTGCCCTGATCTACACCAGGCTGCCAGAGCCCAGCTACAGAACTCTCAAAATCTTCACCTTGAATGTGATTTCTGCCAGGCAGCGGGTGCACTTGATGTAGAAGCGAAAGATGGGAAGCCCCAGGTACATTTCATTCTGAACAGTCTCTTTGCGGGCATTAAACTTCTTGCCTTTATAGATGTACTCACCACAAGTCTTGCACCTACATGAAGCAAAGAGAACGTGAATTAGGTCCACAATGTAATAAAAGCCTAGAGAAAGACAGAAGTCTAACTGACATACAAAGGGGCGGAGCCTAGTTTTAATGGGCATTGTAATTTAAGAATCGCATTCCCATCTGAACATTTGGTATCTATTGTTATACACAACCTCTAAGATGACTAGAATAGAAAGACATTAGCTACATTGCTATTTTTCCCATTTAATCTTTGATCAGTGTCACTTCTGCCGATTGACAGTTGCCTCCCTCCGACATACTGCTCCGGAGTGGGGCGTTCAGCTGCACACTCTGCACATTTAGGTACTTATATGGTCTTCGTCACTGTAGAATCCGAGGACCTCACGATCATTAATGGATATTATTATATAATTATTAGTGGACAGATATCGTCCCCCATTAGTTAAAAAACAAACACAGGGCATTTAGGCATAGGGTTGATTGGGTAACTTGCCCAAGCTCACACCACAAGTCTGTAGCCAAGGCAGGAATTGAACCCAGGTCGCCAGAGTCACAGCCACTAGACCATTCTTTCCACCCCCCTGGTTTCTATGAGGTTTTCACAGCAACAGTAGAGGCTGAATCTAAAGAGGCAGGTGTGTCCACCACAAGCAAAAGACCGGGTGGAGTTGAGCCTGGTCATGCTGTCCTCAGGCCTGCCTGAAAGCCCCTTATGAATACAGCAGGGGAACATTTGGTCAGCCCTGGCATTTAAGCATCAGGTGATACGTGCATACATAGTAGTTTGGGAGTGTCTCGATTAAGCCATTCTAGAGGGGATTCTGCTATTTAGTTCATAGCTATACAAAACCGACCTGCCCCCCAAAAGGTTACGTCCATTGTAAATATTGTGGTGCACACATTAACTTGCTAAAAAAAAAAACAGCCAAAGTCTCACAATCACTCCTCATTACCAAAATCCAGTCAGTACGTTCAGCAAATAGCTAGATTCACCCTCCATCCCATGGTCAGCTCGACGGAAACACAGTAAAGAATCAAGAGGAGGGATATCCTATGAAACCTGCCAATCTCTTGTGACGGAACAGCGTTCCCATAGGTTCTCCGGTACACGTACTGCCAGCACCATCTCTCTCACCTCATGTTGAACGGAGCCATCAACCGCACAACATACTGCCGGTCCTTTGGGAGCTTGAGCTTCGGGATTTTAGACGGATCGAAATCCGGCGGGTAGTATTTCTAGAAGAACAAAGCAGAAAGGCATCAGCAGGGAGGCTGGGGGGGTGAGGGTGTGAAATGGGGGGTGAGGGAAGAGGGTATCACCCATTGCGCCAGCACTTTGGGATCCACCGAGGATCGGAGCAGGGCCTCAATGTCAGGGCTCCCCACACTCACATCAGAGGCTACCGACACCCAAAGCTTATAAGGCCTCTCAGCAGAACAGACATAGCTGCCACCTCTCCCCTCCCCCGCTACGGGGCCCCCAGCTCTCCCCCTCCTCCCCTCCCCCACTACAGGGCCCCCACCTCTCCCCCTCCTCCCTCCCCCACTACCGATGCCCCTGTACCCTCCCCCGCTACGGGGCCCCCAGCTCTCCCCCTCCTCCTCTCCCCCCACTACTGGTGCCCCGGTCCCCTCCCCCACTATGGGGCCACGGGGACGCCCCCTCCTCTAGCCCACTACCAGTGCCCCGGTCCCCTCCCCCACTACGGGGCCCCGTCTCCAGGGCCCCTCCCCCCGTCTCCGCGCCGCGCCGCAGGCTGCCCCCTACTCACATTCAAAACCTTCCTCTCCGACATTTTGCCCCCTGCCTGTGCCCAGCCCGAGTCCGCCCCGCGCTAACTCTCCGCCCACCACAGCGCCACGGGCACTTCCTGGAGCCAGCGCCCGCCCCTCCCATTGGCCTGAAATAAGGTGACGCCGAGCACTCTTGTTGTCTATTGGCTCGTCCTGCCGCCCATCACGCTCAAACCCCGCCCACTGGCTCGTGTGCTGCAGCTAAAGAGGCCCGTCTAGGCGTAAACCCCAGACAAGAAAGGTTCCGGGAGGAGCCGAGCCGAGCCGAGCCTAGCCTAGCCTAGCCTTGCTTTGCCTTGCCTGCTACAGGGCTAGATCAGCATTAGAGGCTCTGTGGGGTTCAGTGCATCGGCCGGGCCTAGGGGCTGCTCTCCCCTCCTGTGTAGTGTACAGAGAAACCAGGCAGCAAGCCGCCCACTCCTGAGTTTGCCCATTGCACGGGGACGTGCAGGGTTTATAGTGCAATGCCACGAGGGTCTCGCATTCGGCACCGCAGGGGCAAGAGGGCCCAGAAACACCCGCCAGAGCTCTCGCTGCCCCTGGAAAGAGCATGTTCCAGCAACGCTCGAGTTTCATACACACGCTCCTCCGCCATTAGCGGGAAGGGTTGCCAAGCCTCCCGGTTTCGCCAGGAGTCTCCCGGAATCGGGCTCTTTCTCCTGGAGGCTACTGAAGCCAAACCGGGAGATTTTAGGCCACTAAATGTCTGGTGGTGCAATGGGGCTAAGGCAGGCTCCCTGCCTGCCCTGGCCCCGCGCCACTCCTGAAAGCAGCCGGCATCTCCCTGCGGCCCCTAGGGGGGAGGTCAGGGGGTCTCTGTGTGCTGCCCCCAGCACCGAATCCGCAGCTCCCATTGACCAGGAACTGTGGCCAATGGGAGCTACAGGGTGTGTGTGGCTGAGGGCAGGGACAGCGTGGAGCCCACCCCTGCCCCAGGGCCCGCAGGGATGTTCTGGTCGCTTCCAGGAGAGGTGCAGGGCCAAGGCCGGCAGGGAGCCTGCCTTAGCCCCACTGCCCAGGAGCTGCCCGAGATGAGCGCCACCCGACCAGAGTCCTCACCCCCTCCTGCACCCCAACCCCCTGCCCAGCCTGCTGAAAATGAGCGAGGGTGGAGAAGAACGAGCAACAGAGGGAGGGGGGATGGAGTGAGCAGGGGTGGGTCCTCGGAGAAGGGGCGGGGCAGGGGGTGGGGCGGGGTGTTTGGTTTTCTGCAATCGGAAAGTTGGCAACCATAGTAAGGATATTTACTTTGTATATTTACATGTTATGTTGACAATTTGTGCTCTCATGGTTATAAAGCTTTAACTTTTTGAATCTCAAAGTCTATTGTTTCCCATAACCGTGAAAATTTAAATAGATAAAAACTGGAAAAAGAATGCTTAAAAATAAGCAGTAATATTATCCATCCAAATCATAACAAAATAAAAACCGAATGCTGCCAAACCTACGTATAACACAGGCCATAAGGCATCCCTGAATTAATTCCCGTTTGAACTGACACACATCTGTTAGTGCAAACGTCCAATCTAAATTTAAAAATCAAATTTAATCTTACTAGGACATAAGAAAGTCCTTATAAAATATACTAGAGCAACAGGCCAAAACGCTGCCCTCACACTAAGCTGTAGTTTCAAATGGATATGGTATTCTTACTTCTCCCTATCCTATACTCGTGTGTCAAACAACCACCAGGCTCCACCCCAGAGGTGGCTGCATTCAGCAATCCTCAAGTTGAGTATTTTAAGGCCTGATCCTGCAGACATTCCCTGCCAGGCACAGCGCTGTCTAATGTGACGAATGTACTTCATAGGATCATTCATGATACTAAGCAATCCTGTGCTCAGTAGCAAAAGCATTGGCAGGATCAGGCCCATAAACTGAGATGCTGCAGAACACTCATGTACTTACCTTTATACGCACGAGTAGCCCCACTGGTGGCTTACTAAGTAGGTGTGTAAGTCTTTGCAGGGTTAGGGGTTTAGATTGTAAAACACTTTAAGGAGTGGACACTTTGCAACGAAAGATGCTGTTTAAAAGTAAGATGTTTTTTCTCTTCTTTGTTTGAACAGCCTCTGTCTCTTGGCAAAAATCTAATAAAATAGACGATGAATAGAAATGTGATAAACCTAAATCCCCGAAGCCGAAAGGTACATCAGCCAGACCATCGCTTAATATAATTGCCATTTATTTCTTTTATCCATTCGCTTTTTGATTTCTCCACAGTACACATTCTGCACTGAAGAGCACGTTCTCGGAGAGAATGCCCGAGCATTCTGACTTCTTTGGCTAAAAAATGCGTATTTTCTTTGAGTATTTTGGTTATTCTAAATATGTTTAACCTGATTACAAGATGCCTTATCGATAGGAAAACCAGACATATAAGCTATGCCTGTGGACATGGGATACTCCTATCCCTGTGACATCACACACATGTCAATCGGTTACAAGGTCAGCTGCTGCTCATTATAAATTCGCTGCAAAGCCAGATAATACTTGCACAGTTCCAAGGCACTGACAGATGGGAGATGAGAAGCTGGTGGCACAACACCATGATTTGGTCCACAGGGCCTCCCGTGCTGTCTCCTCTTTAGGAGTAGGATGGTGGGTCTGGCACCGAGGACAAGGATACAGGGAGAGGAGGGCATCCATCATGGGGGAGGAAGACAGGAAGGGAACTGGCTGGAGAAGGGGCAGGAAACCAGAAGACACTGGGCACTGGGAAGAGGGTCTGCCGGCCGGGTGGGAAACCAGGCTCAGGAAGAGGACAAAAGGGGCGTTTGAAGTGAACTGGCCACCGCCAGCCTTGAGGGAGGGGCCCGGGGAAGGAGTGGCACCTCCTGCTGCCAGCTTGGCTTTGACTCAGTAGCTGAACCATGCTTTGTCCAAAGAGCAGGATTTGGGCTGGAATGTAGCCCCGTCTCTCTTGGGAACCATGGTCTGAGTTGGGAGGGTTCACTGACACACACAGCCACCCTGGGGACCTCCCGAGCTGAAAGCAGAAACGCTGCTCCGGAGATGGGACTGCACCAGACTCATGTCCTCGGTGAACCGGCCCAGAGGGGGCCTCGTCCCACACGCCTACCAGTGGGGCACGATACTTCCTCTGCTCCAAGGAAACTCGTCCCCAGCGTCTGAGGACCACAGCAGGTTGAATCCCGCAGTGGGTTACACGGGGCAGCAACAACAACAAAGCCCCAGCAGCCAGGTTGGTAAGAAGTGGGTGCTGTTACCCGCGGCGGACTGGGGGCGAGGAGAAGGACAGAGGGGTTTTGAGAGCCCAGCAGCAGAAAGGAGAATCTCAGCATAGGGACCCTCTCCCATCCCAACCCAGCTCCTGGGTTTTCTGTCAGGTGAATTACAGCCACCTGAGTGGAAGGTGAAGGCGAAAGCAAGTCAAATCTTGACCCCACTGGGAGGCAGATGCGAGAGCTTCTGGCCGCACCAGACAACCCTGCTCACGGCTGCGTCCAGGGGGTGCCAGATACCAGCGGGCTCCAGGTGCTGTAGTCGCCGTAGTCCGTGAAGTCCTTGGCTGCCACTTGCACGTGGTAAACGGCTCTGGGGCGGATCCCAGTCAGGATGAAGGAGGTCTGCTCGTACGGCCCGATCTGGGGGGCAACACATGCGGCGGAGGTGGGGTTAGGCCGGGAACATGCCCCGCGGGAACCCTGCAGGGCCACACGCAAGGGGAGGTTGCCTCGCAGACTGGGAGGCAGGAAACAGAGCTTCTATACCAGGCTCTGCCTTGGACTCGCCCCGTGAGCTTGGGCAAAGCTAAGGTACAGAAGGGGCAGCACCGTGCTCAGCGCTGTACGAGACGCTGCGCAGAAAGACGGAGGAGGAGGAGCAGCTTAGAGCACCAGAGGAATTCCCTGAGTGGATCAGATCCGGGGCCCAACTAGCCCAGCCTCCCGCCTCAGACAGTGGGCAGCGCTCGCTGCTTCAGAAGAACGTGTAAGAATCTGCCCCCAGGAGGAACAGAGCCAAGGGACAGAGAATTGAGGGGATGGGGATCCCCCCACCTCCCCATTAATCAGCTCTGCGGCTCTTCAGCACGCTCAGAAAAGCAAAGCAGCGACTCTCTGCCCTCGCTCAGACCCGGCAGTCCCGGTGTGGGCAGCGGGCAGGACGTGATTGGCGCCATTTCTATGCCAAAGCAGATAACGGCCTTCACCCAGACGGGTCCCGCCTGGACCGTCGGGCCTGGGAGGGCAAACGGGGCCTTCTCCAGTGGGTTGAGTGCACGGGCTGCCCTCAACGCCGTCCGCTAAGCAAAGTGAACCGACAGCAACCCGCGAACTGCTGGAGCCGAGAGCGCCGGGGTGTCGTGGGCACTCACCGTTCGGTTGCTGTTGGCTCCCTCCCTCGCGTAGCGGATGAGGTACTTGAGTGGGAAGTACTGTGGGAAGGGCCAGGAACTGGGCGGCTGCCACTCCAGGAGCAGCTTCTTGCGCTCCCCAGGGATGGGGGAGACCTTCAGGTCTTCCGGGGGATCCGGCCGGACTAACAAAACACACAGAACAATCACCCCAAATCCATGTCCATCTGGCAGCCCGAGTCCTTCCGCACCAGCGGCGGGTGCAGTCTTGTTGCTTTGCCCAGCAGCGCCAGCTGGGGAGCCCAGCACGATGAGTGTCCCAGGGCTGTGCTCTTTGATACCCACCAGGGCTCCTGCTGGGGCCCATGAGATCCCAACGTCCTCATGGTAAGGTCCAGCCAGCCAGCACTGGCTCTGTCGTGGCACCGTATGGCAGGGGCAGGGGCGGTTTCCCAGGCACAGCTGCCCACTAGAGAGTCTCACCCCAGAGCTAGAGGGAACACTTCTCAGCATGGGCCTGCGGTGCCAAGCTTTGGGAAGTGGCGCCTGCCCATCGCACAATGGGCTGAGACCCACCGGCTCATTGCACAAAGGCCTCCAAGCTGCCAGCAGACCCGGGGGACTTTCCATCCCAGGTGAGCTGCGTGACCCAGCAAGGACCCGGCCCGTTTTGGCTGGGATACCCCACGGACCCCAAGGGGGGATGGGTCTGTCCCGCAGGTCTCCTTTGAGATTCCCAGTCTCCGTCCCCAATCCAGCCAGTCCCGCTGGTA